CCCCCCCCGCCCTTCCCCTCCGCTCTTACCCTCCTTCTGCATCAACTTTTAAGCATCTACGAACTCACTTTCAGATAATCCAGATGCGAAAACATTTGCCTTATTTTTTTCGCATTCTCCGCTTCTATCCTGAAATCCAATTCTGTTGGCAAATTTCGTTTCATTTCATCCACTAACCAAAGGAAATGAAAATCAGGAAACAGTCGTGATGCAAAATTTGTTAAAGCCTGAAATGGAAAATTTCGTGATGCAATTCTTGCCAGTTCACTGAGGAAATTTTCAAATTAGATTTAAAAAACAAGAAAAAAAAGAGAAATTCAAACCTAATACTTCCCTCAAAAACGATGAAGAGTCCTCAGATTGACCTAGAACAAGTTGGAAAGAAAATGAAATGCATTACCTCAATGGTTTTTATGTCAGCTGTGCTCCTTGGTCTCACATAAATGTGTTGCACTTTCACAGCAACCACCTCGTGATTTTTTCGTAAAACTGCTCGATAGACTTGTGCCAGTGAAGCGGAGCCCTTTGGAGTCAAATTGAATTCCAAAAACAGATCCTCAAGCTGCAAAATGTCAAGTTCTAAGGAGGCATTAGCTCAGGAACTCCTCCGAACCGCAGTACGTAAATTAAACATCCACGCATCCCTCTATCGAACAACTCGATTACAAATACTCAAAATCACAAATTATACCTTCCCTTGCGTGCACTTTTAAAGGAAGCCCAGCTGCTGTTTCTACACGATATGCTCAAGACTACATCGGAAAATCTGATAACTATGTAATTTATGCACAATTTTATGATCCAATTTCTTTCTAAATCGCTTAAAATCAGCTTATGTGACAAATTATCTTTCCCACCCCAATTTCACTAATATATTCAGCTTCCGATAAAACAAATAAACTCCTACTTTAATATTTTCAAGTCCAGAAATTGCGCCTCCTTCGCCTGTTTCCGGCATTAACCATTCATTCCTCAATGTGTCACCCCCCGGCTTCTTTTGTATTGAAGGCCGTACGGATAAAACTCACTGCTGTACATGTCATCATCAGAAAGAAACCGAAGGCAAACCAGA